AAAAGCAGAAGGTAGAAAAGACCAAGGGGAACAAAAAGGCGAAATCAATTTGTTGCTGAAAGAGTGGGAGCAGGAGCAGGGTGGAGAATTAGAGTAATGAATAACGGACAGACTCGTTATCAAGGGTACCAGAAAGCATACGAACCAACAGTACTCATTTCTGGACAACAAAAGGTATAATTTGCAAGGCAAAAAAATACTCACCTTTAAGTGTAGAGCACTTGTCGTAGACCTGCTGTGCGAATGCCTTGCACACTTGCATGTAGGGACCAGTGGGTGTGTCAATGAAATAATACCCCGAATCTGCAGCGAGGAAATACCAAATTAGAGAGCATACCATTACTGAAAAAAAGTGTACTCCGCCCAAAAAGTGTACGATTATGTAAATGAGCATTACAATGTACAAGTTGTGTCGGTATGAAAATGACTCTCATAACCAGGCACGATGCGGTGTAGTGAAAGGGGTACTATATTCGGACGAGGCTCAAATCTTTTGCGACAAGTGTGCGAAAAAAAAAAAAAAAAAAAAAAAAAAAAAAAAAAAAAAAAAAAAAAAAAAAAAAAAAAAAAAACAACAACAACAACAACAACAACAACAACAACAACAACAACAACAACAACAACAACAACAACAACAACAACAACAACAACAACAACAACAACAACAACAACAACAACAACAACAACAACAACAACAACAACAACAACAACAACAACAACAACAACAACAACAACAACAACAACAACAACAACAACAACAACAACAACAACAACAACAACAACAACAACAACAACAACAACAACAACAACAACAACAACAACAACAACAACAACAACAACAACAACAACAACAACAACAACAACAACAACAACAACAACAACAACAACAACAACAACAACAACAACAACAACAACAACAACAACAACAACTCACCTGGGTTACACGTGACGGCGCACACGAGCTGCTCGATCAGCTGCTCGCACTCCTCGTGGCCCTTAAACAGTTGGCACACCTGCGCGCCGAGGGGAAAGAAATACGCGATACGCGGAGCAGACAAGCAAGAGTTGGTTTGTAACCACGGAGCAATGGAACGGTCGCGGGGAGCGGGGAATAGTAAGGGGGAGCGGGGAGGGTAGAGGTGGGAGAGGCGATATACCAGCATTGTGAGAAGAGATTAAAAAGCAAATAATACTACAGGCTTCGAGAGACTCGGAGCGGTCTTCGAGAACTCCCCAGAAAAAATAGTATCGCATTCGCTGAAAAGTATCGCGAAGAGGAGTCGCGTTGCGATCATCACACGCAGGCCGCCTACAGTACCGCCCATGCCGCGAGCTGTATTTGTACCCATCTGAGCAGCATTAGCATTGCGGGCAGAATTATCACCCATGCGAGCACCATTATTACCGACACGACCACCATTAGCACCCATGACAGCCCCATAAGCACCCATTCAAACACCATTAGCAACCATGCGAGTACCATTGGCACCCACCCAAGCACACTTAGCACCCAAACGAGTACCACCTACATCTGCCGGGGCAGTCGCCAGACCCTGCGTCACCGGCTCCAAGGCAGCAGCAACATCTATCGCGAGCACTTGTATCGGGAACGTAAGATCCGCGCAGTCCGCGCAGCACGACAGCTGCTGCGCCTCCACGCAGCGCGAGTGCGGAATCGTCGGCTTCGTCGCGGGCTTCCCCGTGAGCGGGCACACGGGGAGGGTCTTCGGCGGAGTTACTGGCGGAGCGGGCGCGGGCGCTTTTGCGGCTGCGGGGGGGGACTTCCCCGTGGGGGCTGCGGTAGGGGCGGCTGCTGCGAAGGGAAGCAGGAGGAGGAGGAGGAGCGGGGCCATGCGCGCACGATCCATGACAGGCGCGTCTTGAGGAGCCTCGGTTTCCAAAATGCTGGCTGTCAGGTGGTAGAAACCACTGACCAACCAGGCAATGCCTTGCCCACAAAGTACCAGGAGACCACACAGGTTTCAACAATGCAGGAGTGGTGGTGAATCAGAAGTGGAGTTTTTTCAAGGAGTCGAGGCTACGCCGTACTACACCGCACTGAAGTTTGCCAAATTACCAGACCAGACAGTTGCAGAGGACGAGGGGGGTGATTCTTGTCGAGGGACTGAGGTGTTGGAGACCAGAGCTACTCTGAAAGCCTCGCATTATTTCGCAAGTTCTTATCGCAGAGCTACTCTGCGGTTGCTGAAGGGGGGAGAGGCAGTGACCCGGCTTCGTCGCGAGCGACATTGTCTTTTCGCGACCGACACAGTTCGGCGGCTGGCGAAAAACCTTACCACAAGGAAGCTGCGTAAACGTCGGCTTTGTAGTTGGTTCGGTGACAGCAGGGAACAACGACCGCGCGTGTACTCCCCACAACCTCAAAACAAGTTCATTCAAAACACTTTCAGAAGTAGAATGTTGACTAGAAGGTCAAAATAAACAATGATATCTCACCTTATTACCAGGCATGGCTACAGAACACTCATTCTGATTAATACTTTTTAGAGTTTGATTTTCATTTTTTTTGCAGAATAATGACTGCAGAGAGGTTTGAGCTGCACAAGGTACAAATCTCCAGGCAATATTATCCAGAAAATATTTTTGAAAGCGGGAGAGCTGATAATGGAATTGGTAGTACACCCTCGAATGTGATTTATTGAGGTTCAGGCTGCGTGGGAAAAGGTGACCATCAGGGCTGGAAACCACGTGAGAGCTTTCCCATTGGCAGATATTAAAACCACGTGGAAGGCAATCCTGTTTTCCATAGTGCAATCGCGCGCATCCTCTTTGGTCGCGCAGGCCGACTTGTTGTTCTGCTGACTTGCGACCGCGCCTGCTTCCGCTCCGCCAGAATATCCTTCGTGCCTTCGTCCGCTGATCGTTCAGTGCGGTTCAGTACGAATGAGCGCGGCGAATTACGATTCTAAAAGTGGAATTTGCCAATACTAGAGTTGCTCCATCCACCTTGAAGTTGCCACCATTCACCAGCTCGGCCCCCTTGAACTTGTCATCGCTTTCTTGTTCCTGCCTCCTTCAAACGTACGCGTTCCAGGCATTCAGGCATTCCAGGCTCAGTTTCAGCTCTTCGGGATCCGCATCGTCTGATTCCGATTCAGGAGGACTTCGATGAGCTGCTAGAAGAGATGGGCATCACTCATCGAATCACTTCAAGGTATCACCCTCAATCGAATGGACTGACCAAAAGACTCATACAAACCCCGAAAAAATGAGTTCGGACCTACGATGAGACACACAAGAGGAGTTGAGACCGGTCACCGGGAACTGTGGTGGGTGCTGGTGGGTTATCGGTTTACGAAGCAAGCAGCGCTGAAAAATTTGTTCCGTTACCACCTGCTGTACGGGCATGACACAGTGCTGAATGTTGATGCATCGAAGTTGCTCTCGGCAACAATTGAGGGAGACGAGCCGAACCTGTGGGCGGAGCTAGCACAAAGGAGGGCGAGGTTTCTGAAGGAGCTGACCACAGCCGCGTTGGATAATTTACATGCGGCGCAGTTGCGAGATGCAAGGCGGTATCAGCAGCGCAGAGCAGCAAGGATAGGAGGAAAGCGAGAGAAGGTGGAGGCGGGACACGGGGTGTACTTACGAAAGGCGAAGTGAGACACGTTAGACCTAGTTGTAGGCTCGGAACGCAGGAAGCTGAAAAATGTGCGGAGATCGGGGGTGCTACTGCTGGAGGGTGTGCTCCTGAAATTCGTGTGCTGTGGCTGACTCTGCTGCTTACTGAATCCACGCCGTTACATCAGCTGCGCAGCTCATGCGTTGACTCTTACGTGCGTTCATGCCTCTGCTCGCCGCTTTTCCGATTCCTTCTCGTCCACCGTCGCTGCAAAACCTCCAGCATTTCCCGCCTTTGCCCAGCTGGACAGCGCCATCAGTGTCCACGTGTCACTCGAATTCCACGTCACTGCCGCAGTTCACGGCTCAGAATCCAGGACATAGTCAAATTTCCTCCGGCTTTTTGCGTCTAATTCCGTGTCACTCCCTTCCATCTAATAGTAGCTCCGCCATTCCGAGTTCCCCTCCGTCTGGTAGTCTCGTTCCCTCAACTACATCCTCCACTCCTTCTCGTCGCGTGCTTTCTCTGCGACTCGGACTCACCCCATTGTCACCAATCGTCGCTACATTCACCCTCCCTATCACCTTCACTGGTGCTCCTCCCCCCATCCTCGCTTCCTCGCCTCTCACCTCCTCCGCCTCTCATCTTCCGTACTTCAGTAGGCCAACGTACGCATCTGTCCTCGCGATTCCTGCACCTAGGCGCAAGATCCTCCGCGCGCGGAACTTAAAGCGCTGCAGGCGATCAACTAACCTTGGTCAGACTAAGGCGACTGATCAATCGCGTCAGCGGCGCTTATCCCGCTCCGACCCGCGCCTCGCTACGCGCAGTACAGGCATAGCGAAGAAGCGTATAGCGAGTACAAAAGCGGTTTACAGGACTGCGCTAAACGAGCTGGTCTTCCCACAACCTACCGTCGCCGCTGCCAGAGCCTCGAGGAAGGTTCGTGGAACCAGCAGCCGTTCCGTCGGGAGCAGTTTCTTTTCAAAAACAGGAGGCCGGAGTTCGAACCTTGCCGTTGGCGGTTGGAACTGCCTAATCGGGTCCGGCAGCGGCGCGAGGGTGGCATTGCTTGTCGCTTCCCACTTCTGAGTGGAATCAGATCTCGAAGAGGCGGCTCAGGCGGCCCAACAGTAGCAGGTGGGTGGGAGCTTCTTGCACCTCCCTCTGAATTCTTCTCCTCTGCACCTTTGGTGCCCCTCCTCCATAGTTCTTCTCCTCTGCACCTTTGGTGCCCCTCCTCCATAGTTCTTCTCCTCTGCACTTTGCTTGCTCTCCCCTCCGCCGTTATTCCGCTTCTTTCCACTGAACCCTTACTTTCTTCCGTCACTATTTCCTCCCGCTTCTTGCCCCTTGGTGAACGTTGCGTGGTTATCCTCCCCTCCCCTGCGCCCCTCCCCCCTCCCCCGACCCAGCCATGAGGCTGAGCGTGCGCGAGGTGGACAAGCTGCGGCTGCATGCAGCAGGCGCGCTGGCGCAGAGGCGCCTGGCGCGCGGATTGAAGCTCAACTACCCCGAGGCGGTGGCGCTCATCGCCACGCAGGTAGGGGGAAGGGGGAAGGGGGAAAGGGGAAGGGGGAAGGCGCAGAGGCGCCTGGCGCGCGGATTGAAGCTCAACTACCCCGAGGCGGTGGCTCTCATCGCCACGCAGGTGCTGGAGCTCTTTTTTCTAGTGGGCGCAGAATCGTGGCATTCTGTATTGATTCATAACTCGTTTCGACAACGTTCCTCCATCGGTCGCTGCTGTTGGCCCAGCTAGCTACCGACTGGGTTAAAAGGGCATGTTTGTATGGTGGATAGCACACCCATTACCCCTCAGGCCACACCTGTAGCCCTCCCACACTCAACTGGGGAACGATCCCAGTGCCCCACCAACAGCTGCACCTTCTTTCGAACCCTTACTTTTTCCCATCATCAGGACAATTAGTCCTATTTGTCCTGTGCCGCTCACTGCGCCCCTTGTCCTCACAACATCAACATCCTCATATTTCAGGTGCTGGAGTATATTCGAGATGGCAAGAGCGTTGCAGAGCTCATGGACCTCGGCAAGCAGCTTCTGGGAAGGTTCGTCCATTGTGAATTCTGTTGCGGAAGTGGATATGGAGGGAGGGAAGTAGAAAGGGGAAGGGGGGGGGAGGGAAAGATGCATGGAGCTTGGGAAGGGGTTGGTGGGCCTAGTTGGGTGCAGGAGAGTGGGAAATGCATCAATGCCCCCATCCCTCCCTCCCTCCCCTCCCCTGTTTCTCCCTCCCTCCCTCCCCTGCCAGCGGTGCCAGTGCTGCTAGACGTGGTGCAGGTGGAGGGAACCTTCTGAGTCGTCGTCTCACGAGCCCCCCTCCTTCCCCTGCTCTCCCTTCCCTCACCTGTTTCCCCTCTCCCTCCATACTCCCCATCCTCCCCGCATTCAGGCGCAACGTGCTGCCAGCGGTGCCAGTGCTGCTAGACGTGGTGCAGGTGGAGGGAACCTTTTCTGCCCTCGACTCACAAGCCCCCCTCTCCCATCCCCCCCTCCCACACATCAGGCGCAACGTGCTGCCAGCGGTGCCAGTGCTGCTAGACGTGGTGCAGGTGGAGGGAACCTTCGCAGATGGCACGAAGCTGGTGACGGTGCATCACCCAATCAGCCGCGAGGACGGAGACCTCTCCCTCGCTCTGCACGGCTCGTTTCTGCCAGGTGAGGGGTCTAGTGGGATGAGGATGGGGTGAGGATTGGCATGGAGATGGGCATGGCACGAAGCTGGTGACGGTGCATCACCCATCAGCCGCGAGAACGGTGATCTCTCCCTCACACTGCACGGCTCCTTCCTCCCAGGTGAGTGGTGTGAGTGTGAGGAGTCTCCCGGTTTCACATTTTCCCGGTTTCCCGGTTTCCCGGTTTCCCGGTTTCCCGGTTTCCCGGTTTCCCGGTTTCCCGGTTTCCCGGTTTCCCGGTATCCCGGTATCCCGGTATCCCGGTATCCCGGTATCCCGGTTTCCCGGTTTCCCGGTTTCCCGGTTTCCCGGTTTCCCGGTTTCCCGGTTTCCCGGTTTCCCGGTTTCCCGGTTTCCCGGTTTCCCGGTTTCCCGGTTTCCCGGTATCCCGGTATCCCGGTATCCCGGTATCCCGGTTTCCCGGTTTCCCGGTTTCCCGGTTTCCCGGTTTCCCGGTTTCCCGGTATCCCGGTATCCCGGTTTCCCGGTTTCCCGGTTTCCCGGTTTCCCGGTTTCCCGGTATCCCGGTATCCCGGTATCCCGGTATCCCGGTTTCCCGGTTTCCCGGTTTCCCGGTATCCCGGTATCCCGGTATCCCGGTATCCCGGTTTCCCGGTTTCCCGGTTTCCCGGTTTCCCGGTTTCCCGGTTTCCCGGTATCCCGGTATCCCGGTATCCCGGTATCCCGGTATCCCGGTTTCCCGGTTTCCCGGTTTCCCGGTTTCCCGGTTTCCCGGTTTCCCGGTATCCCGGTATCCCGGTATCCCGGTATCCCGGTTTCACGGTTTCCCGGTATCCCGGTATCCCGGTATCCCGGTATCCCGGTTTCCCGGTTTCCCGGTTTCCCGGTTTCCCGGTTTCCCGGTATCCCGGTATCCCGGTATCCCGGTATCCCGGTTTCCCGGTTTCCCGGTTTCCCGGTTTCCCGGTTTCCCGGTTTCCCGGTATCCCGGTATCCCGGTATCCCGGTATCCCGGTTTCCCGGTTTCCCGGTTTCCCGGTTTCCCGGTTTCCCGGTTTCCCGGTATCCCGGTATCCCGGTATCCCGGTATCCCGGTATCCCGGTTTCCCGGTTTCCCGGTTTCCCGGTTTCCCGGTTTCCCGGTTTCCCGGTATCCCGGTATCCCGGTATCCCGGTATCCCGGTATCCCGGTTTCCCGGTTTCCCGGTTTCCCGGTATCCCGGTATCCCGGTATCCCGGTATCCCGGTATCCCGGTATCCCGGTTTCCCGGTTTCCCGGTTTCCCGGTTTCCCGGTATCCCGGTATCCCGGTATCCCGGTTTCCCGGTATCCCGGTATCCCGGTTTCCCGGTTTCCCGGTTTCCCGGTTTCCCGGTTTCCCGGTTTCCCGGTATCCCGGTTTCCCGGTTTCCCGGTTTCCCGGTTTCCCGGTTTCCCGGTTTCCCGGTATCCCGGTATCCCGGTATCCCGGTATCCCGGTTTCCCGGTTTCCCGGTATCCCGGTATCCCGGTATCCCGGTATCCCGGTTTCCCGGTTTCCCGGTTTCCCGGTTTCCCGGTTTCCCGGTATCCCGGTATCCCGGTATCCCGGTTTCCCGGTTTCCCGGTTTCCCGGTTTCCCGGTTTCCCGGTTTCCCGGTTTCCCGGTTTCCCGGTATCCCGGTATCCGGGTATCCCGGTATCCCGGTTTCCCGGTTTCCCGGTTTCCCGGTTTCCCGGTATCCCGGTATCCCGGTATCCCGGTATCCCGGTTTCCGGGTTTCCCGGTTTCCCGGTTTCCCAGTTTCCCCTTATCCCGGTATCCCGGTATCCCGGTATCCCGGTTTCCCGGTTTCCCGGTTTCCCGGTATCCCGGTATCCCGGTATCCCGGTATCCCGGTATCCCGGTATCCCGGTTTCCCGGTTTCCCGGTTTCCCGGTTTCCCGGTTTCCCGGTTTCCCGGTTTCCCGGTATCCCGGTATCCCGGTATCCCGGTATCCCGGTATCCCGGTATCCCGGTTTCCCGGTTTCCCGGTTTCCCGGTTTCCCGGTTTCCCGGTTTCCCGGTTTCCCGGTTTCCCGGTTTCCCGGTTTCCCGGTTTCCCGGTTTCCCGGTTTCCCGGTATCCCGGTATCCCGGTATCCCGGTATCCCGGTTTCCCGGTTTCCCGGTTTCCCGGTTTCCCGGTTTCCCGGTTTCCCGGTATCCCGGTATCCCGGTATCCCGGTATCCCGGTTTCCCGGTTTCCCGGTTTCCCGGTTTCCCGGTTTCCCGGTTTCCCGGTATCCCGGTATCCCGGTATCCCGGTATCCCGGTATCCCGGTTTCCCGGTTTCCCGGTTTCCCGGTTTCCCGGTTTCCCGGTTTCCCGGTATCCCGGTATCCCGGTATCCCGGTATCCCGGTTTCACGGTTTCCCGGTATCCCGGTATCCCGGTATCCCGGTATCCCGGTTTCCCGGTTTCCCGGTTTCCCGGTTTCCCGGTTTCCCGGTATCCCGGTATCCCGGTATCCCGGTATCCCGGTTTCCCGGTTTCCCGGTTTCCCGGTTTCCCGGTTTCCCGGTTTCCCGGTATCCCGGTATCCCGGTATCCCGGTATCCCGGTTTCCCGGTATCCCGGTATCCCGGTATCCCGGTTTCCCGGTTTCCCGTTTCCCGGTTTCCCGGTTTCCCGGTTTCCCGGTATCCCGGTTTCCCGGTTTCCCGGTTTCCCGGTTTCCCGGTTTCCCGGTTTCCCGGTATCCCGGTATCCCGGTATCCCGGTATCCCGGTTTCCCGGTTTCCCGGTATCCCGGTATCCCGGTATCCCGGTATCCCGGTTTCCCGGTTTCCCGGTTTCCCGGTTTCCCGGTTTCCCGGTTTCCCCGTTTCCCGGTTTCCCGGTTTCCCGGTTTCCCGGTTTCCCGGTATCCCGGTATCCCGGTATCCCGGTATCCCGGTTTCCCGGTTTCCCGGTATCCCGGTATCCCGGTATCCCGGTATCCCGGTATCCCGGTATCCCGGTTTCCCGGTTTCCCGGTTTCCCGGTTTCCCGGTTTCCCGGTTTCCCGGTTTCCCGGTATCCCGGTATCCCGGTATCCCGGTATCCCGGTATCCCGGTATCCCGGTATCCCGGTATCCCGGTTTCCCGGTTTCCCGGTTTCCCGGTTTCCCGGTATCCCGGTATCCCGGTATCCCGGTATCCCGGTTTCCCGGTTTCCCGGTTTCCCGGTTTCCCCGTTTCCCGGTATCCCGGTATCCCGGTATCCCGGTATCCCGGTTTCCCGGTTCCCGGTATCCCGGTATCCCGGTATCCCGGTATCCCGGTTTCCCGGTATCCCGGTATCCCGGTTTCCCGGTTTCCCGGTATCCCGGTATCCCGGTATCCCGGTATCCCGGTATCCCGGTTTCCCGGTTTCCCGGTTTCCCGGTTTCCCGGTTTCCCGGTTTCCCGGTTTCCCGGTTTCCCGGTTTCCCGGTTTCCCGGTTTCCCGGTTTCCCGGTATCCCGGTATCCCGGTATCCCGGTTTCCCGGTATCCCGGTTTCCCGGTTTCCCGGTTTCCCGGTTTCCCGGTTTCCCGGTTTCCCGGTTTCCCGGTATCCCGGTATCCCGGTTTCCCGGTTTCCCGGTATCCCGGTATCCCGGTATCCCGGTATCCCGGTATCCCGGTATCCCGGTTTCCCGGTTTCCCGGTTTCCCGGTTTCCCGGTATCCCGGTATCCCGGTATCCCGGTATCCCGGTATCCCGGTTTCCCGGTTTCCCGGTTTCCCGGTTTCCCGGTATCCCGGTATCCCGGTATCCCGGTATCCCGGTTTCCCGGTTTCCCGGTTTCCCGGTTTCCCGGTTTCCCGGTATCCCGGTATCCCGGTATCCCGGTATCCCGGTTTCCCGGTTTCCCGGTATCCCGGTATCCCGGTATCCCGGTATCCCGGTATCCCGGTATCCCGGTTTCCCGGTTTCCCGGTTTCCCGGTTTCCCGGTTTCCCGGTTTCCCGGTTTCCCGGTTTCCCGGTTTCCCGGTTTCCCGGTATCCCGGTATCCCGGTATCCCGGTTTCCCCGTTTCCCGGTTTCCCGGTTTCCCGGTTTCCCGGTTTCCCGGTTTCCCGGTTTCCCGGTTTCCCGGTATCCCGGTATCCCGGTATCCCGGTTTCCCGGTTTCCCGGTTTCCCGGTTTCCCGGTTTCCCGGTATCCCGGTATCCCGGTTTCCCGGTTTCCCGGTATCCCGGTATCCCGGTATCCCGGTATCCCGGTATCCCGGTATCCCGGTATCCCGGTTTCCCGGTTTCCCGGTTTCCCGGTTTCCCGGTATCCCGGTATCCCGGTATCCCGGTATCCCGGTATCCCGGTTTCCCGGTTTCCCGGTTTCCCGGTTTCCCGGTATCCCGGTATCCCGGTATCCCGGTATCCCGGTTTCCCGGTTTCCCGGTTTCCCGGTTTCCCGGTTTCCCGGTATCCCGGTATCCCGGTATCCCGGTATCCCGGTTTCCCGGTTTCCCGGTATCCCGGTATCCCGGTATCCCGGTATCCCGGTATCCCGGTATCCCGGTTTCCCGGTTTCCCGGTTTCCCGGTTTCCCGGTTTCCCGGTTTCCCGGTTTCCCGGTTTCCCGGTTTCCCGGTTTCCCGGTTTCCCGGTATCCCGGTATCCCGGTATCCCGGTTTCCCGGTATCCCGGTATCCCGGTTTCCCGGTTTCCCGGTTTCCCGGTTTCCCGGTTTCCCGGTTTCCCGGTATCCCGGTTTCCCGGTTTCCCGGTTTCCCGGTTTCCCGGTTTCCCGGTTTTCCGGTTTCCCGGTATCCCGGTATCCCGGTATCCCGGTTTCCCCGTTTCCCGGTTTCCCGGTTTCCCGGTTTCCCGGTTTCCCGGTTTCCCGGTTTCCCGGTTTCCCGGTTTCCCGGTATCCCGGTATCCCGGTATCCCGGTTTCCCGGTTTCCCGGTTTCCCGGTTTCCCGGTTTCCCGGTATCCCGGTATCCCGGTTTCCCGGTTTCCCGGTTTCCCGGTTTCCCGGTTTCCCGGTTTCCCGGTTTCCCGGTATCCCGGTATCCCGGTATCCCGGTATCCCGGTTTCCCGGTTTCCCGGTATCCCGGT